ATGTAACAATATCGAAAAACAAAAAACATACGATTTTTAGGAATGTCAAGTTCCATCCTGTGAGGAAGTTTCGTGATATTCAGAACTAACGACAGAAAGTTAGTCGACCCTTGCCGAATTTCGTGTCTCTTACGGCCACCGTGTCTCCCCAACAATTGGAGTTCTTGTCGATGCTTGTGATCCCAGTACGGAATACGAGAAAGCCTGCACTGACTCGTTTAACAGAAGTAGCCCAGTTTCGGTAATTTTTTTGGGACCAACAAATTATAACAGCAATAAACCTTCAGTAGTCAGACTTGCTTACCAGACTTACCGAAACCCTTTCTTCGTAACTGATTTTTATCTTCACCAGGAACCCATTGACTGAATTTATAGGGGATGCAACCACATTTCTAACCGGGTTACCATCACTACCTCTTTTTCTAAGCCAACTTGCTTTTTCATACTCAAGTCCATTATCGTAAGTAACCCTATACTGTAAGTATCTGTTTTGCTCTCCCACTTACCGACAATAGGAATGTGACTCTTCACAGGACCCAGCTTGCTTAAATAAGGTTTTATCCTTTCTGGTAAGCATGTAAATTCATGATACTGGTGATAACAAGATAGGTTCTGTCAGTTAAGGTCATATGATCGGTGGTAATCCCGCTAAGATACGTTGCGATGTAAGCCCAAAAGAGTGCAGCAAAGTATGGCTTTTTGTAGTCGAATTTTACATCAACATCCTTAATGACAATGGAGTTTACCACACTTGGAAGAAGAGATCCACCTGCACTACCGGTAGTATTAAAAAAGTTTGTAGCATCGACATACACCTTAAAATTGTTGACATCCTTAGGCCATCTTATCCCTGGAAAATAGCTGTGACCATCAAGTGTATCATCAGGATTAATCCCGTATCCATTTCCTCTTCCAGATGACCACATAGCAGGCCACCTAACTTTTGTAGTTTTACTTACAGGTGGTGGGTCAGTGTCAGTCATAGGAATAAATTGCGCGGGAATAATAATTTTCTTAGTACCTGTGAGATAGGATGTAAACTCCTTATTATCCTTAAAACCTCCATACCTAATATCATAGGAGGATATACCATCTAAATCAACAAACCATGTGACGACTCCTATATCACCACTACTGGTAATCTTTGCTTCAAACTTAAACCTCTTCATATCAGCGTGAGGGTACTTTTTAATAAACCTAGCCCTCTCAGCGTCCTCTGCCTTCTTACCAGCAATAGGATCAACATAGTCCTCTTTATCATTCATATCAATATCCTTTCCATACTTTTTTCATAGCCCTGGTACGACTGATACGGCGACATACGAGCTTGTCCTCCACCTAGCCTCATTCTTAATAACCTAACTTATGTTAATAAGATGAAGTTTACAATTCTTACTAAGGGATCCCACACGGTAATACCACTGTACAATTCAGTACTAACAAGCAACTACGGTTCAGTCTTTGTGAAAAGAGTATCTGTTTTCTGGGAGTATTTCAATATAGGGGAACAAACAACACTCCTCACTGTGAAGACAACTGGTGATGTAAACATTGGCGGGGGATACTATACATTTGATAATATTAAAGCCTTACTCGAGAGGCATGGCGTAATGCTGACATGCTTTACGGAAACAGCTAAGTGTCAGATAGAGACAACAAAACATGATGTGACCCTAAGTAAAAAGTTGCAGGAAATGCTTGGACTCAGAAGATTTACTAAACCCATGATTTTACTAAAAGGGAGATGTTTGACAGGTGATAGTAAAGTTGACATCAACAACGGTCTACGATTCGTAAACATTCATTGTAATCTTGCAAGTAAAAGCTACAAGGGGGAAGCTGGGGGAAGCCAAGCGATGTGATAACAAGTATTACAATTCCGCCAGACAGACCACTACTGGGCTCAGTGGTTAGTTACATTGACATTGAAAGCAGAGTTTCAGTAGTTAAGGGTTCATGTTCAGAACTGGTATTCCATATAAAGGATCAAGACGGGAAACCTATTGATATAGGTGAAGTGCTTATCGAAATGTACCTTGAGTAGCGAGCTTACATTGGTTAATATAAGATAGACGATGATATTATGAAAGAACAGGGACTACGAGATATTTACTACAATCCTAAGACTGGATTCCAAACACCAGAGAAACTATACCTAAGAGCAATATCGGACGGCCTTGAAGTAACCAGAAACCAGGTCAAGAAATGGATAAATGAGCAGGACACATACACTAGGTACAGACAAGTGTTCAGGAGACACAAGTTCAGGCAGAAGTACGTCCAAACATTAGGTGACATGGCAAAGTATGACGATAAGAACAAGGGATACCGATGGATTCTCACATCCATTGAAATACTAAGTAGGTACGCGTTTACAGTACCTGTGTACAGGAAAAACGCGGGGGCAATGAAGGACGCAGTCAGTAACTGTTTAGAGCAATTTAATAATCATTTTGGGAAGTACCCAAAATTTGTCCAGTTTGATCAAGGAACAGAGTTCTACAACAAAGATGTAAAGTCCCTACTCGATAAACATGACATCGAGTTTTTCTCCACTTACTCAGACAAAAAGGCCGCAGTTGTGGAAAGGTTTAACAGAACACTGAAAGCGCTAATGTGGAAGTACTTCTATAGTGCCAGTACATATTAATGGTTAGACGTCCTTCAAGACTTAATTAACCGATAATTACAACAGTTCAGTGAACAGGTCAATTAAAACAACACCGGACCGTGTAAATGAATCCAACTGGACTGAAGTATGGAAGACACTTTTTAGTCACAATTTAGGCAAACTGTCAGAACCAAAGTTTGCTGTCGGAGAAAGTGTTAGGATCTCAAAGTACAAATCAGTGTTCACAAAAAGGTACGAAGCAAATTTCACAGAGGAGTTGTTCACTGTGACAGAAGTGTATCACGGACACCCAAACACGTACAAAATAAAAGACAGTGCTGATGAACCAATAATTGGCAGATTCTATGAACAAGAACTGTATAGTGCTGAAGGAAGAGAACCTGATTTTAGAGTAGAAAAAGTACTAAGGAGAAGAACAGTGAAAGGTAAAAAGATGGCCGTAGTTAAGTGGTTAGGTTATGATGACAAATTTAACAGTTGGATACCAACTGGAGACATCAAGTCCCTAACATAAGTTAAAGTATTATGGAGGACTACGATGACATTGAGTTGGAGGAGGAACAGAAAAGTTATCCTCAATATGACGACATGAGCTACCACGACCTTTTGTCAAACTTTGATGAACTAACAAGGAGGTTACAGAAGGAGGTAAAGTATAATTCATATCCATTAGTAATCACCGACCTTAACAATGAACTCTGCTATGTGAATTAAGAACCTCATGGAGGACCGTGTGACGGCAGAGACAACCTTTACTGAGGGTAATGACGGTACAGTGAACATCTCAGGTCCATCAGGAAGCACAACCGTCGCAGGAGTCGACTTCGTGGAAGACCCAAACAATTTACTTCCAGATGTGCTAGATGCATTTGACAAATCATTTGACACTGATTGGGACGACATAGACGACCGCCTAAGTAAACTGAAGAAGTTCTCAACAGTTGAGAAGAAAAGAGACTTTGAAAACCAAGTGGAACATGTTCAAGCTGTTGCAAGAGTTGTTCAGACAAAGGAGAAATTAGTACTCAACCTTAGGAACAGATATGTCAGGGAACTAATCAAGTGATCATCTGTAAGAACACTCAACGATGGCACAAAGGTGCTAGTGTTCAGAAGCGAACAGGGTATTGACAAAAGTGGCAACCAGATAATGAAACGTGGTAAGACCAGCATACCGGTATACTCAAAGAATTCCGTTGCACTGAGAGAGTATAAGGAACTAATGAAAAAGATCAGGGAGGAACTGGAACCGTCCAACATCAAAAGTGGTAGTGAAGATTCACTGCACGAAGACGCCAAAACAGAGCCCCAATTTGATACCAGTGATGAGGAATACGCAGAACGTGAGAACATAGAGTTAATAGACATTGGTGCAGCCTTAGGAAACATTCCAGGTCTCACAATGCAGGAAAACGATGAATTAAGAGGAGTACTTAACCAACCTGAGGGAGTAGATATAAAAAGCACAATAGGACCAACAGGTGCACTTCAAATACAAGCGGATTGCTTTGACGGCGCTATTGGCAGAACCGTAGAACGTGTAGGTGATGCGGAAGGTGTGACTGAGTACAACGCTATTATAGAAAGAATTGACGGATTGAAGGAAGCAAGAGATAGGACACTAGAGCAAAGAGCATTAGAGGAAGCAAGAGAGGAACAGTTGAATGACATTTTCAGACTTCGCAAATTTGTGAAATAGTTGGGGAGGAGAAGGTGGGCCTCACTGGAGTAGCAGTGTCAGCAGCCGGTCTAATTACAACCTTACATCACCATGCTAGAGGGGCAATTGTAGGAACAGCAAAGGCAACAAGTAAAGTAGCAAAAGCATTAGCCAATATAGCAAAGAAAGGTGCCCCAATTCTTGTGCCAGTCCTAAATGCCATCGTCTCGGCACTGTCATGGGGTGCCAAAGGTATTGCCTGGTTAGCGTCACATCTATGGGTATTAGCTGTAACAATTGCTTTACTCATATACAATTTTTACAGTAAGTAAAGTATAATGGCTGAGAGTGTAGAGTACAAAGCAGCATGGATGGAAAGGGTGAGCGGTATGCTAGATGAGTACGATGAGGAATACTCAGACATATGGGAGGGGGACCTTTCAAACGCTGAGCTTGAGGAGCTTGACACAAAGTATCCCGGATACCGAGAAATGGATGTAACAACAATGGACTCTGAGTTAGATGTGCTATCAAGGAAGGTTCGCGAAACGGAGGATAGTTATGAGAAAGATGATATTGAAAGGGAAATGGAATATGTTAAGGAATTAAGAAACAGAGCATCCTGGAGGGAAAGGGAAATGGAATCATACCTTAGCTCAACACATAGAGTCCTGAAGGAAAAGGTAAAGAGGCAAAAGCAGGTGTAAGGAAAAGTGACTATGGTGGGAAGCTGACAAAAGTGAAGGGTGTACTGGAGAAACTAGGTTTCGATCCAAATGAGCCTGAAGAGGAGCTACAGAAGGAGGAAGAGCTACGGCAGGAGGAAGCTAGGAAGAAGAAGGAAGAGGAGGACCGTAGGAAGGAAGAGGAGAAGAGACGTCTGGAGGAACAAAAGAAGCTTGAGGAGGAAAGGAAAAAGCATATGGCGGAGGTGGAAAGGAAACGTATTGAGGAAAGCATAAAGGCGGCAGCTGCAGGTGAGAAGGAGGAGAGGGAGTACTGGAAAAGGAAGCTTGAAGAGTGGGATAAGGAAAGAGCGAAACCTAAGGAACCTGAGAAGGTGAAACCTAAGAAGCAGCCTGAGGATACTAAAGAGCAGCCTAAGAAGCAGCCTAAGGAGCAGCCTGAGAAGGTGAAACCAAAGGAGAAGCCTGAGAAGGAGACATCAGCTGAGGTGGACAGTGAATGGGTAGATGAAACCTACAATTTTGAGAGCCTTCTGTTTCAGACTGTGGAAGATACAATCAGCGTAGAAGATCAACCTGTTTACAGTGGAGATACCAAGGAAATCCTACTAAGAAATGTGAGGGAAGATCTTACGAGGTATGAGAAGTTCAAATCATGGGTTGAAAGAAACTTTGCAGGTATACTTGCCGGTATTACAGTGTCAGTAGCTGCATTGCTAACAACAATTATAATTCTGTCTAGAAAACTAGCATCGGTCACTGCAGAGGCTGCTAGTGGATGCGGAGGACCTTCACCTTCTCCTTCCGATGACCCAAATCCGGGAGAAAAGGTAATTAAATTCTTATCGTCAAATCTATGGGTTATAGCTATAGGTTTAGCATTACTGTGCATGAGAAGGTAAACATCAGTTATTTTATAATCATGAATACGACAGAAAGCGAACTCCAACCAGGCTTCAGAAGGAGCTGTATGACTACCATCAAAGGACCTCGAACCAGAAGTGTTGTCACATTTAATCCAACAACAATCAGTCCTGGGGAAGAGTTATATATCAATATTCCGAAACTCAAACCTTCTTCTTGCTTAGTCCCCGGATCACTTGCCTTTCTTTTTGACTTCAAGAATTCCAACACAAAGAGCCGCTTCAGCAATAACCTTGCCAAACTGCTAGCAAAACGTCTTCAGGTAAAGGTAGCCGGTAAGACTGCCTATGACTGTTCAGGAGAAAGCTTATTCGAAGTGTACAAAGACCTATGGTTAACACTAGGTAGGAAAAAGATGACTGAACAGGGCCTCGCAAGTGAGAATCTCAGGAAGTTAATATCAGGCGACGACACAGGGGTAAAGGTAGGTGATGCCGGTAAAGTAGCAGATGCACTTCTACACACTATATACGGCTCTAAGCTGAGAAAACGGATTGACAAAATAATTGCCGATCATGGGCTCTATGTACCATTCTTTATGAATAACAATCCAATGTACATCCTTACACTCCCACAAGCAGATGAGATTATGACTGCACAAGGAGGTAAACAGGTAGATGGATACAAACTCGCCAATCTTGAGTTAGAATACGAGACCATTGAGAATGACACCCTTACAAGTGAAGTATCAAGGATGTATTCCACAGGCCGCTCACTGTCCTACAAACATGTTACACTAATGCGTACAAGTAACTGGGACAAGGATCTTACCATTGTCAATGCGAATATCAATATCCCCAGAAAGAGCATGTCAGCAATTGTCCTCCTATTTACCAACAGAGTGAGAACTGATTCAGAAGAGTACATTTACCCAAACATTGATAACGTCAACGTAACCATTGAGGGGGTGCCAAATGCGGTCTTCTCCCAAGGTCTCCCCAAAAACAGGTTCTTCGAAGAGGCAAAAAGATTCTTCTGCCCAATGTGTGAGAAAACAATGGCTGACGAATTTATGTCCATCAGCAAGTTCTTCAGCAATGGTTTCGCTCTGGTGATTGATCTTAGGTCAACACAGGATGACACCACTGGGGGAGGCAAGAAGATAGTTAACACACAGTCAGGCGTATACGTACTCCTGGAAATCAAAAAGAGAGCCACAACATCTGACGTTCAATGCAACATTTTTGTTGTATCAGATGCTCTCCTAAACTTTGCCAATAGAGATCTATCAAGTATTCAATACTAATGGTAACACATAGAGAGATGCAACCTCAACCGCCGTTCAACATGCTTATAGTAGGAATGACATGGAGTGGTAAAACCCAGTTTCTCCTTGACATGCTAGAAACAGAGTACAATAGAGTTTTCGACTACATTATCATTGTATGCCCAACAATAGAGTGGAATACAACTTATCTCAATTGGAGACACCTTAGTGATCACGGGGTTATTCAAATTCCTTGTTCACAAGAGATGATCAATCATGTTCTCAAGGCAGTGTCCACAATATTCCGCGGAACCAATGCTCTCATCATAGTGGACGATTGTGCTGCAAGTCAAGATGTAAAGAAAAGAGTCTCCGAACTGGTGCGCTTAGCATTCTCCGCAAGACATTACAACCCAGCCTAGTTCCTGGCCTTCTCGCTTCCGCCTCGTTATTTTAGGGGGAAATCGCTAAGGTTTGCAGGTTGACCGGGATAAAGCTGTATTATTTGGATACTGGGGAGAGGCGAGAAGCGAGAAGGCCTAGCAAAATTCGCAAACTGTCCTGATTTGTCCTTCGCGTTGGGAGTGGGCTCTAGTTTACTTCGATAATTTTTTGTTAAATTTTTAATATAAATTTGTGAGTATTTTACAGACTTTACAGTAAAAATTGTATTAAAGAAGCATTTTGATGGAAAATTACAGGTGCTATTGCCTTATGTAATGTTGGGAAGGTGTAATTTGCAAGTTCTAAGCCAAGGAGTCAACAGTGAACAGTTTGGTGTATATTTGTTCGTGATTTTTGACTTGGTATTTTTACCTCAAATATAATAATATAATAATTATTATGTATTGTCGAATTTTCTAAAGGAATTCTTATGCAAAATGTACGTACAATATGATATTCCACGTATATATTTATTAAATTGGATCTGTGATTGGATCAGCTGCTATTCTACCAGTGTCGCTCGTGTAAAATGAATTGAAAGAATCAAATTATGTGGACTTGTAACTTGGTCAATATCGCGTAGTTGTTTATATTTTCACAGAAGTTGACTGTCTCATTGTATGAACTGTTGTCACTAGTTAGTATTCAAATTGCTAAATGTTTATTATATATATTTTGTTCATATTTTTGTTGTTGGAAAGATGCCATTAATGGAAAGTGTAAATATCTATATTATGCCCCTTGCACTTATAATTCACTTTCCTCTGCTTCCCATGAGGTTGACAGAACAAAATATTGACAAAGCCCTTGGGTACAGGGTAAAGTTTAAAGACAAAAATCATATTACAGTACAGTACAAAATCGTACTGTATAGCAGAAAGGTGAACAATTAAATAACCACTATTATCTGAATGTTGATATCCTTTTGGTTTATCCTGGGGGTAAACTGTGCCTGTTTAATAGGGGCATTTATAATTTACTTACAGGAGGGGGAGGGCCATGACAGTTTTTAGATTTAAATTTTCTGGAGCCCCCCCCCTCCACTTTTGTTGATCACATTCGTTGCCCCCCCCCCCCGCCATATAATTGTAAACAACAGATGGTGAATTGTCGACTCCTTGTCTCCCCCTTCAAAAAATCTATTGACCTTTAATTAGTATTGGTTTCTTATCAATATGAATAATAAATTCTGACATGCATTATAATGTCAAATATTCTTGACCATTGAAATTCCATATCTATTAATAACAACTTCAGTCATAAATCCTTAGAATATGAAAGGTTTGCAACTTTGCATGGCAACAAACTAAGGGAAAGTTTTTGTTGAAAGTTCCCTGCCTAATATTCAGGTAATTTTCGATAGTCCCTAAATTGTGACCCCTCTCAAAATCACCATTGCCCCCCCCCCCTCCTAGGTAAATTACAAATGCTCCCTCGTCAAAATGGCAACAATTTCCCTACATGGAGGGACATTATTTTTGTACAAAAAGTAACAAATCCCCCCTCCTGGTGATCAACCCCTGGGGATGCCGATGATTAGTGCAGTTGATTTGTAAACAAGACATTTATTTACCCCAATAAAGTTATGCAAAAAAATAATGTACTGTATGTACAAGACACTATTTCAATGCCTTAACCTCGGCCTTTCCATTCAGGTTCTTTCCCACTCAGGCAATATATTTTGATAGAAAACATTGATTTGTCTTCTAAGGGCAACATATTTGCAAGCAAGGTCTTGTTTTTTTATAGACAGGGATAAATTTTCCCCTCATGTGATGCCCCCTCCCCCCTTGTGACACTCTGCAGCTTCTGATCAAACACCCTTCTATCCCCACAAGCATTATGTATTTTGGGAATGGCCCCATATCACATATGGAATAAATTTGTTTTCAGTTTACTAGCAATAGAGTATATGAGAATCCAAAATCATGGATTTGAAAGGAAGTAGTATTTTAATTAAAGATTGAGGTTTTAATTACGCCAAACACATTGGCGAGTGCCGACGTGTATTTTAATCGCTCAGTTCAATGGATCCAACAACTACACTTAGTATTTGGTCCGATTATTTCTGTTTAAAAAAGAACAAACTAAAATGGTCAAGTACATTAGCAGACTTAAAAACGTTACTACATGATGAAATAGACGAAGAAACGGCAGCACATTCAAGCTAGCGATCACCTAGCGGGGGAACCTGGGTTTTTGAAAGCAACCAACTAAAATTAACGTGGCATAGTAAAAGTGAGAACATCAGCTTTGAAGGAGCCAGTGGCAAGGATTTAGCTGAACGAATTACTTCACTATTAACAAGGGCTGATGATGAACGAGTGAAGACAAGTCCTGTCGAAGCCGATCCGGTGAAATCGATTGAAAACAACGAAGGCTGTGAAACCGAGCATAGCGAAGTCATTGATGTAAATGAGTCTAGGAAGTCGATTGAAATCAACGAAGCCGAACCGGCCAAATCGATTCAAGTAAACGAAGGCTGCGAAACCGAGCATAGCGAAGTCATTGGTGTAAATGAGTCAAGGGAGTCAAATGGAGCAAGTAATTGTAATCATGCGGAGTGTCAATGCCCAGAAATTGTTGCTGAACTTAAAGGTATGAAGCATGAAATCGCTATTCTACAGTCTCTTATCCAATCAATTGCTATTAGCAATTAAATACCTGACAATGGTAGTGTGATTTCCAGGCTAGAAGCTGAGCACCAATCTGTTATTGATGATATGAAACTTAAAGCAGCTATGCAAGTTGCTGACATAAAAAGCGAAATTGGTAAGCTTAGTGCTGAGCATCAATCTGTAATTAAAGATCAAAATCTTAAGTATGCAATTCTGGAACAGAGATGGTTAAAAGCAGAAGAGGAGAAAGACTCTTTGCGTTCGGTCCTTAAATTGTTGTTCAGGAGAAAGACAGGGTAAATGTTTCTAATCTGCAGCCTGAATACAACTGTGTCGGTGATCCGTCTGTGCAACAAAACAATTTCAAAGCCCGTACTATGACTAATAATTGAAATCATGCTGTGAAAATAGACCTCACAAGCAGGGATGATTATCATAGCCAGCAAAGGGAAAGTGTTCATCCCACTATTCAAATTACTCAAAAACCTTTGAATTTAGCCAGCCTAACCTCTGAAAACAAGATACCTAGCCAGGTCCCAGGTGGTCAACCATGCCTTCCTAGAAGGTATGATCATATAAATGTCAGCAACAGAATCAATAAGTCAACTCCAATTAGTCGTTACCTCCAAACTAGAACCATACCTGATCAGTATCTTGTTGATCTGCCTTGTTTACAAGATGGCAGTAATCAGTAGTCGATTCATCAGTTAGCGCATGGGCAAGTCAACTCCGATGCTTCCAATAAGAATATGATTAACAACACCAATGCATTAAACTGCAACCGTAGTCCCCACAGTCACAGTCCATCTATTGATGTCGATTCTACTGAATCTAGAGTAACTCACCACCCACCTAGTCCATCCAACTCACGTGATCAATCAACTATGATTAGAGGCATCAACCACCTATGCCACCTCACCGTACCAAGATTTCTATATTGGGAGACTCAATGATAAAGCATGTTCAATCTCCGCAAATTCGGCGGGCCGTGAGTTCTAGTAAATCCGTCTACATCCGCTCTTTTCCGGGTGCAAAATCTTTAGATATGGCAGACTTTGCAAGACCAACTATGAGGGACAACCCGGACCACATTATAATACATATTGGTACAAATGATGTACGCCAAAGTAATCCAGAAGATGTCATTAGAAATGTTGAAAACTTGTGCAATCAGATCAAAGACCAATGTCCCCGTACTACCATATCACTATCGGAACTGATTGTTCGCAATGACTTTCCTGATGCTACTACTAAGATCAGCAAAATTAATAATGAACTGCTATGCCTTAGTAGATCTAAAGGCTATTATCTAATTAATAATTCAAACATCAGTGTGCAAAATCTTGATAGATATGGCCTTCATTTAAATGGTAGTGGTGTGGACACTCAAATTACTAACAACTTTATAAATCATATTAATTGTTTTTAGCGATTTTCAATTAGTTACTTTCTCCTACCTCAATTGCTGCAATGACAACGACATTGCTGACCTGCTCTCGTCCAATGTTAACGATTCCTCTTTTACTATTCGTGATGAAACCTTGTCCGATAAAGACCCTCTCTCAGTAATTCCCACGAAAGGCCTAACATTTTTTTATCTAAATATCCAGGCCATTACAAACAAATTTGATGCTGTGAAACTCTTAATTTTAAATTCCACAATCAGTCGACAAAAAAGCAATATAATCTTCTGTTTCGCGGTAACGCATCTCAATCCCACTTGGTCTGATTCCGAAGTATCTATTGACGGCTATCATTGTGTAAGAAGGATCGAACCACGTCTAAAAGTGGTGGTCTCATTGTCTATATTCCTTATGGTCTCAATTTTAACATTCGTTCTGATATTCAAGTTTCGGATGAATATTACGAAATAGAATACTTGTGGATTGAATTCCTTTTCCAAAATTCCAAATCCATTTTGGTTAATTTTCTTTATCAGCCTGATACTAGTAACAAGTGGAGAGCTCAATTTGAAAACTTGTTGAAAATAGCTGACAATGAGCATAAAGAAATCCTAATACTTGGTGATTTCAATTGTAATGTGCTTGATAAAAGCAAATATAGATTCCTACGCCAACTCGTCTCACAATATCAGCTCAAACAACTAATTAATAACATAACACGACCCGTCTCGGGGACTTTAATTGATCATA